CGATGGTTTATGCAGACGAGGGGACATTAATATTTTGTTACTGTGCGATCCCGGCACGGCTAAATCACAATTACTAAAATTTGTTGAGAAAGTAGCCCCTATTGGAATTTACACTTCAGGCAAAGGTTCTAGTGCTGCAGGTTTAACGGCGTCAGTGACGAGAGATCCATCAACGGGAAATTTACTTTTCGAAATATCATATAATTGGCTCTCAAATGTAAGCACTTATGACAGGATAATTTATTGTATTTGTTTCGTCTCTTCATTAAATTTTAGCGAAACTTTGTTATGGAATTCGTGCTATGGTTCTAGTTGATGGTGGTATTGTTTGCATTGATGAATTTGATAAAATGAGTGAAGGTGACCGTGCTATATGACTTAATTCTTTTTATCTTAACAATTTGTACCACTGTATAACTTTGTTTTACGGTGCAATAATATATTTTATTTTTTTTCAGACGAAGGAACATATTGTGGAAAAGTATGGCGGTGAAGAACATTTGATGAACACCACCTAAATCGGTACTGTTGGCCCAAACCGAAGATTACATAGAATATTCGCGTAGCGGCAAAGTCATTAAAGGAATGGAAAAACCAAAAGCTCGTAGTATATAAGGATATATATCTTAGTAATCTTAGTTATTTTAGTAATATATAAACTGGGATTATTTGGGAAAAATGAAAATCTCATATTAATCTATTGTTAATTATTTTGTATTATTTTCTGTTAATTCTTTCCATATATTCATACAAGTGCTTGAAATATAATATATAATCTTGTATATATAAATGTATAAAAAATATGCATTCATCTTCCTTTGTACGTCTCCTGAATAGTTTTATACAATTTTTGTAGGCGTGGCATAATGTTAAAGAATGATTGGAGGCTTTACACAACATCCATTGGAACATAAGCATGATTGGCTGTTAGTTCTTAGCCATGCCTTGAGTAAAAAAATGGGATATCTCATCATACAACGTCAAACAAAGAATTTCGCTGAATGGAATGAAAATTTTGTAGACGCTGTGAAGGTTATGGGTAAATTTTTGAATACAGTAATTTTTTGTGAAACTCATTATTAGAAAGTATTGTTTCCATTCCAAAATCAGTGGCTTTTAGTCTGACACCAGACCAGCAATCAAAAAGTGGAAAGTATTTGGAATTTTCCGATGGATGGAAAAAGTTCAAGTTATGCGATATGATAGTAAGGAAGGCTCCCGCATTGCTCAGTGAAATGTTAATGAACATTTTTAGTAATGCAATAACTTAACAGAGAACAACTGAACTTCTTGAGAGGTAAATTAAATTGCTTCGATTTGTTTGGTCGTGCATTAACCTTTCAAGAACTCGATAGTATACCTCCAAAAAGGAATAAACCGCTAACGAAATTGAAGCTTTCTTAGCTGTATATGGATGAAGAGCTTTTCTTCAATTTAATTCAACGTCTGCCGATTTTGACTATATTTTGTTTCGAGGACAATTTTTCCTATATAATCGATGAATAAATGAGTCATGTTTTTTGTCGTCTCATATGTCATATGTCACTGTAACCATGGGCGTGCGTAAATGACATAGATGCAAAAGACATCATTAGTAACTTAAAGGAGGCATTAAAGTTCGACTTTAAGTTTAGAGAATTAATTATAATTGAAGTTAGAATTTAAGTTTAAAGAATTAAGAAGCCTTTATTAATATGTTTGTCTAAGGATGAATTGTGAATATTAGCACTTATTCTTTTCCTCTTGAAGAACGGTACCTTCATAAATTCCGTATTAACCCTAACCTACTACCATATACATAATGATCTTGTATTCTCTATATTTAATTTTGTTATTATTCTTTTCCTCTTGAAGAACGGTACCTTCATAAATTTCGTATTAACCCTAACCTCACTTGTTTATTGAAAGATGCGTCACTATGGTAGGGCTAGCGTACTGAATTGGTCTTGTTATTTTTTACCGACCCGTAACTTCCATATACATGCGTGTTGATATATTTCAAACTATAAGAAGCATACGTATTATAATACATGCATAGGCATATACTCTGTTACCTGCCTTTGTTTTCGAAGTATTACGTGCTAAACACACTCAAGCTTTTATTTCTGTTACAGGAGCCGAGCAGGTAGGCGATATCTGACAAAGTAATTTTTTGTTTTCGACTTTACTGGTAGTGATAATTCTTTTCTTTTTAATTTACTGAGACGGGATGACTGGCGAAGGGGGTTCTCCCGGAGTGAGGCTTGACCTATCCACTATCGGTTGAGTTGACCTCAGCGATTATTCCTAATACGAATAACTCGTGCGTGTAATTTTTGACAGATTTGACAGATAGGTACTTGACTTACGGATGAGAGATGACGCAGCTTAGTCGTTATATATATATATGTGGGACCACTCTCTCTGATGACTTTTCGAACGGTTATGGACACTGAAATGGACTAGGACACAGGAAGGAAGAGACGAGTAGTCCTGTTGGCCCATAAGATTGGCTGTTGTAATATCTCTAGTGTATTTTAAAAAGCTTTGTTACGTACGAAATGCTGAAAGTGATATCTAATAAATTATCTACGAGTAATCGGGTTGCGAGTCACCAAATCTGTTCCTTTCGCTAGTGCCTTCATAACTATCTACCAAAATCTTTTTCGTCATAACCCTAATTATTTATCAAAAATCCACTAAAGAATAAAGTTATAATATATAGGACAAAACATAAACGTCCAAGTCTTTTTATAAATTTCTTAGCAAGGGACTTCCTGGCAAGCACTGAGAAGAAGATGGGTTATAATATTTGTAATATCGGTTATAATTTATAATATTCAGAAATTTGCTTTTGTAAGTTATGTCTATTGGCATAAGGGGATGCCTTTTAAAATTGTGCCGAAAAAGTAAAGTTAATACTCAACTTAAATTGCAGGGGTAAAATCGGAAACATTTCTTTTTAAATTAGTAGCACTGTGATAGCCGTGCAGTTACGCTTGGTTATATACGACACAAAAAGTATTTTTGTCGATTATTACAATGTGCGATCAATCGGTTGGTTTGGTTGAAATGTAATATATATTCTTTATTATATAAATGTATC